GGCTACATACTATGTGAGCCAGTTTTGCCTATAGCATATCTCTTGAGGAGTGCGCACATTATCTAATGTCATGCAACAGTTTTCTTTAACTAGTAAGTGTATGCTAGTGAAAACTGCGCAGCTTTTAATTAGAAGACCAATGTTGTGGTAGATTGAGGGACTTTGTCATAAGCTTTATAGTGATTATGGAGACAAGTGGGAAAAAATGTGATCAAGTTATCGCAAATTTCTCGCAAATCCTAATCTCTCCACTTATGGTAGAGTGCAGAGTGCATCATCCGTGCACCAGGAACCAGCTGCACAAGCCGTGCAAGGAGTTCCTTTTTTGTAGATGACTTGCTCCACATAATTACCTCTGAAAAGAACAGCGAATAGCACACTTTAAAAGACTGATAGCTGTATGGTACCTGGGCGAGTATCGACAAGCTGCGACATGCTCTCCGCTGCATTTTGCAACGGCACAACCAAGCTTGCGAGATGTAGACCATCCCATCTTAAAAATTACCAAAATACATGCAATGTTTTTCACTTTCGATCTCTCCTTTTTGTGGTACAAACCAAATGTTGTAATCGAATATTAGTTTTAAACGCAAGTCAATTCACCAACCTGTGTGAAAGATTCAATTGGAGTACCCACGTGCTTTTGCCTGAAATATACTTGCAAACCGGGACCTTCTTCAGAACGTATCACTTTCCACCATGAAGTTACTGCCTAAATAACAGTCAAACCAATAATAATTCTGTTGCTTGTTCCTAACCTTCTGAGTTGCACTCAAATATGTAGCCTCTTCAGGGATGCGGATAAAATTTTCGCCAACATTAGGTCGCGTGGATTCAGCTGATTTGGTTGACGGGCATGAACTCAAATAATCGGCGACGTTATTTTCCAAAGCGCAATCATACCTCTGAAACAGAAAACAAAATTACAATGTTTACAATAAAGCTACGTAACCATTTTTTGCATGTCAGAAGATTGGGGTAGGTAGTTACCGTTCCGTTTGGCGATATTTCCGATAGCCAATTGAGCTCTAAAAATACTGGCCTTGATTTGAAAGCGGTTCAGCTCTATTAGGTTGGTACATAAATAATGAGCGTTTTCCGAGTTCTCACTTTGTGCTGCAACTTTCCAAATTAGCGAAATTTTAAGTGACAAACTATCAGCAGCGCAACCTTCTGTAAAAAGCATACATTCACCTGCACTCATATCGCACCTTCCCATATTATGGTGTTTCTTGATTATGGGCTTCTTTGATTTCCTACGTGCTTAACTATATATTCTGCTAAGAAATGTTGGCAGGAGGTCTACTTACGCTTACTGAAATGAAAGCATTGGCGATCGCCTTCAAAAAAAAATTCGTGGGCCACAAAATGATCAAAACAACTATTCATTTTGAGGCACTACAGGGTGTCCCAAAAAAATGTTTAGAACGTTTGAT